GGCGCTAAAGATATAAAATACGAAGTGCAAATCAGTCACCTTCCCATTCGGCTATTCCCATTACTTCTAGGGGGATTGAAGGCAACTATACATGCAGCACCAACATTCTGCAGATCTGCAGAGTAGACTAAATTTCGCAACTGTGGAGGCACAGTTTTCGCACAGAAATCTAGGATTGCTGTTCATCGATGCTGAAAAAAGATTACAAATGAACTTCACCACTAATTCTAAAAAGTGAGGTACAAAGGTGATTAAGTATCCTTCATTTAATGTTGTCATAACAAGAATACATTACTGTAGTTTTTTCCCTGAATATCATACTCACTAAAAAGAGTATAACAAATCCACACAAAAAGCTAAATGCACATTTCTGCTACAACAAGCAAGTTAAGGTTGCAGCTTCATACAATCTGAAATACACCATGCCATCTTGAATGGAATTGTGCTATCAATAGCCTAGCAGGAAAGTTTTTTCTTTAAGCCCAAAGATCAGACACTACAACTACATTTTAGTTGCTAGAACTGATTGGCTATGGTTTTCTGTTTTAAAATATTAAATATATTGTTACATCTTACTTTGCTAATTACATACAGTAGAACCCTGCTGACTCAAACTTTCAAAACCAACAAAAAATAGTTTAAGTTGGTACGGGTTCAATTTTTTGGGGTTAACTGCAAAGTATCCTGTTAATAATTAACAAAGAATCATGTTCTTTATCATTCTTGCACACTTAATACACATTTTGATACAAGTGATTAGTTTTATATGAACTTTTTGATAAGGATGATTAATTATGGAAGTTAAAGTCAAGTGTTTTACAGCTTGGGAGGTTTGACGGTTAATGACCAACATTTTAAGTTCAAGTTATCAGGGTAAATTTGTGCATGGAGAAAGTAAAATTAGTCCAAGTAAACCAAGTTTGAGTTATAGTTAGCTGATAGTAAACAACTGAAAAATCTAGGCAAAATCAAATTTTGTTTGAGTTGAAAAGGAGTTTGAGTTAACCTAATTTCAGTTAGCATGGTTCTACTGTCTTTAAGATCCTAGAGCACAAATGGACCTATGACAAATATACAGAACTAAATATCATTTAACTTTGGTTCATTTCAAGACACAAAAACTTAAAAACTGCTCTCCACTTTAAAACCACGACACAACACTTTGACTAAATTTACAGTGTACATTTCACCTCAATAACATATTTGGAGGTGTGATTTGCATAAAATGATGTAGCAGGCTCTCAGGGCACTTCGATGTTTCTGAACAAAGGTTGCTACAAAGCATGTGTCCCCCCTTAGAAACAACTCAGTTATGCCTGCTAAGTAGAACACACAATGTTGACATAATATCATTAAGAGGAAACAACCTACTTAAGAATCAGATGCCCTATGTTGTCAGTTTGTCAAAATTTTTGAACAAAAATTGTATGATCTTGATGCCTCAAACAATGTTCAACAGCTTTGCACACAGATTACTGCTCAGTAAAATTTCATCTACAAATGTTAAATCCTCCCTGAACTTTGCAATAAATTACACCCTACATGACAAAACATCAGCAGGCTATACTTAAAAATGATAATTTAAAAAATGCCCCTTCACAATGACAACAATATTAACAATAATTTACAAGGAAATAAAAGGAAATGAGTGCACAGAGTTACTTCTACCTACTGCAAAAAATGTCTAACAGAAAGTAACTCAAGAAATACACTTAAGGAAATTTTGAAGATGAGAAGTGAACATACAATACTTAAATACTTGCACTTAACTTAAAAGATAGGAGCTGTTGTGACAAAAATTGCATGAGAAGAGAACTGCTTCTTCAAAAGAAATGCTTGCTTTACAATGACCTTGAATTTAAATTTTACAGTTCTGATTTAACCATGTATTGGGCATAGGAACACTGAATACATTGGACTAATGGTAACAAAATAAGAATGAAGATAAAAAAAATGTGACAAGTCTCAAATGAATAGAATATTAACCAAAAGAGATGTGTGAAACTCCACCAGGAGGAGCATGAACTTTAACTGAGGTAGGAGCAGGTTCATCTTGGCCACGCCCTGCAATGATGTCAGTGCCCTTCCTTGGTGGTGGTTTAGCTGGTTCTGTAGGCTCCTTAAAAAGTGATGATTTTTGTCGTGCCTCTTGGTGAGGGTTCACTGTGTGAGGCTTTCGTGGCTCAGGCTCAAAAGGTTTGGCTACTGGTGCAGGTTGGTTTGATTCACCAAACACACTGGAATGTTGCCTTCTCTGTTGACTTTGCTTATGGTGATCAGCTGCTGTGTCAGAAGCAGGGCCAGCTGATGCAAAGACATTTGATTTGTTGCGAGCTGCTTGGCAGGCATTTACTTCTTTCCTGGAGGCAGGTGGCTCAGGTGCATCACCTCCAAAGATACTGATGGATGTTTTCCCACCAGGAGGTGCAAGAACTCTGTTGTAAGAATAATAAAATAAAGCTCATTGAATTATTTGATTGCACATAACTTGCAGTATTGCAGTTAATAGCTTAGTGACCAATTATTCTTGTGATGAAAGTTAAAAAAAAAAATCTAATTTGTTTTCAATTTCCCCATTCCAAGTTGCGTATTCCCACTAACTGCAAGAAATGTTTCTTGCCAAATATGTCAAAGGTCTGGGTGAATAAAATTACTTCAAACCATCTGTCTCATTTCTTATCAAATCCTATTTCATTTGGACCTATTAATCTCATTTTATTTTCAAGCCCTGAGCTCTAAAATTATTTCCACCCAACAGGAAATACCCTCTTGTATTCTGTTGTACCTGTTCACAAAATATGTGAAGTAAAGGCAAAATTGACTTTCTGAGTTTTCAGTTTCACCAAGCTAATTCTTATAGCATTTCTCGGTGACCTTTGGAGATGAAAAACCACATCTATGTGAAGCAGGTACAAGTGAGGTTTTTACCAAATATTTTAAAATTCATATGCAAAAAAGTAAATATTTAGCAGTGAAAAAACAAAAAACAAAACAAAAAACTGAAATTGTTGGAAAAGGCAAATTCCTGAGGAGCCTGCAGAGGTATACTATGAAATCTTTTCAAAACTTTTAAAACCTCAAAGGTCAAGAAAAGCCTGCTTATCTTGTGACTATCCCTTAAATAGGTGACACTGTTTGAGAGCATTACACAGCCAAGTACTTCCAAAGCATGTGAAAATTGAAATTTCACACCCCACGAACGAAAATTGGTGTTTAAATAAAGAACATTTATAAATACTTGACACCTACATGTTAGAATACCGGAGTTCCTTTACTTTATTCCAAAAAAAAAAACGTTTATCTATCAGTAGATTCAAATTGTGCCCAGCATCACTAATCAATCTAAATTAACTGCAAATGAAGATATTTTGCATAATCTGTTCATGATAATTAATCATATAGTAACTGCTTTTTATGAGGTTTTTAAAGTACCTATCAAGGAAACTTCTGTTGTAAATAACTTGTAAACCAACAGAAAAAATATCAGTCATGATATTAGAATGAGGACTCGAGAGCGAATTTCCTTGATAAAACATCATTAAAAAACAATATCAACGACCTCTCTAGATCAACGTAATTAAAAGGGCAGACACTATTTTGAGCTGACCCGCACGTCACACTAAGAACACAACACAGCAATAAGATTATTTTCGATGAGCAGCACGATTTTAGGAAAACAACTTCTTTCTAAGGAAGTAACGAAGTGATCAACTTCACAAACTGAAAGTGCGCGATAACACTGAAACGATGCTACATTTGCAGTGGAAATTAATTTTATTTACCTTACTGTCAATTTCATCAATACTTGTGTGTTTCATAGACGATGAAATGTGAACGTTTACATTTTGTAATGAGGAGTCGAAGGATTTTATTTGGAGAGTAAATATGATAAGGATTAATCTTTTAGTCTGCCCTTCTCATTTTCCTCTCGAATAAGTATTCAATGTTTGTACGTGATGTTATAAAAAGGCCAAACTTTACATTACATAACCTTTACAACAGGTCTACAACACTCCTTTGTGTTATTTTTATTGAATCGAACAGCAACAAATTTGCATTTGCTTGCATTGGTGACATCGTGTGATTTCAGCGAGACAGACGAAACTGAGCGGTGATCTCTTGTTTCACTGGAAACTTTGGACAGTCAAATAAATTAAACCCAACAAGTTTTTCGCATCTTGAAATAGCAAAATCGTGAAAGACGTCTACAAATAAGCTGGTAAATGTCTTCAAATGCCATACATTTTAATTCAAATTTAATACTGAATAGAAACTTTCGCTTTGATCACCTTCACGCTTCATTGTAAGAGGTGTTTGCCTTGGCCTTGTAGAAGTCATATTTCGAACGATCTTGGCCCATAAATTTAGTATTAACATCTAACAGCTTTTTACAGCAACAGATAACACAATTACTGACTAAATTTCGGCGTGATACTCAGCAAAACCCGTGAGATGTCAAAATTTGCCTTGAGGCTGTTAATAATTTATGGCTTCGTGGATCCGCCTTTCAAATACACGCGGTAAAAAAAATTGCTTTAAATATAGCGAGCGTTCAAATGAAAAAAGTAGAACTAACGAGGACGATAGAGTTTCCTTCAAGCATAACTAAATGGGGCGTACTGTTTTACTTCGAAAAATCAAACAGATCTATTTTTCCAGCGGCAGAATAAATCGCTCTATTCAAGTTGTATTATGAAAGAACAGCATGTACGCAAAGAAAACGCGGCAAGGTTTTCCGCATAAATGCATCTACTTAATCCAAAATTTGAAGCATCGAAGAGTTGAATGTGTATTTAAGATATGTTCTGAGTGTTTTATCGAGCTAGCAAGTGCCATACAACTTCAGAATTCAACGCTTTGTAAGAGATCTTCATCACAATGACAAATTGAATTTACATAAACTACACACAAAATGTACCCGAGCGAGAAATCGAACAAGCAAAGTATAAAGTAAACATTCTTTGACCATTAAAACTCCCTCAAACTAATATCCAAACATTAACAATGTCTGATAAATAAAAAGAACCTTTGCTTAAATCTGTTAAACAGACAGAAGACAATACACAAAGGTCAAAACAGGCGAAAAGGACATTTCGTACGCGGAGAGCAGGTCTGCTTCGTAGAAAACCGTTTGAAAAAGCTAAAGACAACTTACTTCGTAGATATATTGGTCGAGTCCGTTATTCCGATCGTGTTATCGCAGCTTGACATGGTTAGTTTCGTCAAAATACCGAGCTTTGGTGCTCTCCAGTGAGGCCTTTTGAAAACTCCCTCCTAAATTCAACTCGCTTAGGCCGGTGATATAAAATTTATGACAGGAAGTAACGATAATCAAAATAAGACGTCTCCCGGATGTAGACAATCCAACTAAAACTTTCAAATGGTTCTCCTTCCCTCCGCTGTTCCAATTGGTTAACTGAGAATATTGCTGCTATCTGATTGGTGTCTTGTCAGAAGATTGACTTCTGTCTCACCGCATGGTTGGCAGGTTTCTCCTTGCGGCGGGATTTTCAGTAGTGTGTACAAATGTAATTTTGTTTTTAGTGTTAACTCTTATTTTACGCATTACCCTCGTTCTTGCGCTTTATCTGAAGTCTTTAGCGTTGAATATGGGAGCAGAGTGTGGATTTCAAACAAAGCAACAGCTCAACGAGTGTATTTTGCGCTGCCCATGGTCAGAATACCCGCTTCCTCCAGTTCATAGAGCTTGTCGAGATGGCGATATACTTAGTTTGACATACTTGACCATTCAAGGAGATAGGTTGGCAGTTGTTAGCGCAATTAATGCCCGGGATCAATTTCTAATGTGGACACCTATACACTGGGCAGCTTATTTTGGAAAGGTGAGCATTAAAATCTGACATGATTCACCCTGAATTTTTCAAACACCTGGGACGCATTTTCCATATTACCATACCTCCGATCGGAAAGTCAGTCTTTTTCACTTTCTAGTCTCCGACAGAATTGTTGATCGGTCGTTTTATAGTGTTAAAGAGTTTATTTTCGTATCTTTTCCTTGTTTTTGTCTTAGCTCGGCTGATAACATCAAAAAAGCGGTGTTATTTCTATAAGTGAACTGTTAAGAGTTCTTGTAGCAATATTGTACTTATGATCTCCGGAGTCGGTTGCTAATAACTAACTCCAAATACAAGCAAAGTAGCAACAACATTTTTTTCATGCATTTCCGCTATACTGTTAACACTGAAATACAGTTTAGACGCCAGAGTGTCGCCGTCCTCGTCTTTGTGTTCAATATATCAAGAGTTTCGGTCTGTCGTGACTTTTTGTTGGTATAATACTGCTTTTACGTAAAACATGTTTCGGTCCATTTGCGTAATCATCAATCACTTCCCTTTCATAATACCGCGATGTGATAAAATTGTTTGGCGAGTTTACCTCCTGAAAATAGGGGAAGAATGAAAAAATGTTTCTATCATCAAATTTCCTTTTCGACTACTTTACAGACTAAGTAAGCATATGTGACCTAAGTTGCCGTTATGTTGATCATTAGTTCAAAATGTTTTTTTTAGATACCAACGCCATCAATACTAAAGTTGGAAACTAGTTACTACTAAAATTGACTCCAGAGAATTCAATATTTGGACAGAATTGCCAGTGATTATCATAGAAATTTTGAAAACTAAAGGCACTTGTATAGTCCAAGTTATCTTAAGTCACAACAGGAAACTCTTCAGGCCGTGAGATTTCTTTTACAACTTTGCTTCTGAAATGTATTGTAGGACGGTTACCCTTCCATGAAACGTGGAAATAAACCTCAATTCTTCGAAACATATCCGCTGTTTTTAAAAAGGTTGTATTTATTCTGAGACAAGGATTTAGATCTGACGTATGCGTATAGTACATGGACGAGTGACGTTCTCGAAGTCTAGTAAAAATGTAAATTGTCTAAAGTTTTGTTATCTGGGGCAGACATTTTAGACTGTATCTTTCAAGTTAGTCACCTAGTCTTTTACTTTGTTTTCCAATGTACACTTTAGAAAGTTGCAATCCATCTAATTGTAAGTTGTTGTTTTCTACCCTGACAGTTGTTAACTCATTTTCCATGCTCAACTAAATAATTGCCTTGGACAGACACTTGTTTATGAAAAGAGTATCTGTTGAAGCATTGTCTAGGTATTCATTATTAAAATTTCTGCAGTTTGTGGGTCTTACAACTGCTAACTGTTATGAGGATCGAATTATTTTTACTGAATCTGTCACGCAATCTCAGACTTTTCTAGAATTATCTATAATCTGTAATATTCCAGAAACTTTTTCATGTGACTCAGCAGTTTCCAAAAATAGTACAACTTGTAATACGCTATAAATAGTAATAGAACATTCTAGATAACTAAAGTAAATGTATAAAAGCTGGCTTGTGAGAAGTACAAAGGAGATTTGCCCGAGGGCTTACCCTCGTGGCTTGCTGACTGAACTTGTGGAAGCTATGATGTGACAAGGCTATGACCTTTTGACCTTGCGATATCCGGAGAGAAGAAAGAGATGAAAAAGACGATAGTCGAGAGAGGAAGAAGATAGAGAATACAGAGTTTACTATGGAGTCCTCCGGAAGAGTTTGTGTACAAGGAAAGAATGCGATAAATCAAGAAAGCCAAGCGCTGTGGTCTTCAGTCGGCGGATGTTGGAATTGGAAGTTGATCAAGACGACGAACACTTACACGGCATGAAGGATTGTAAGCCTGCTTTATGAACTGCTTAACTTAATCTTTAACCTAAGTAAATTAGACAATGTAAAACTAATTAAATAATAGTTAAAATGGGTAACTGCTTGTTGTTACATTTTTGTTGCGTGCCATATATCGTACTCGGGAGTCTATTTTCATATATGCTTTGTTAGCGGACATTTGTTGGTCATTCGTGCACGTAACAATGTTCATATGTGGTTAATTAAAGGACCCTATGCTGTTGATATGTGGTTACTTAAACGACTGTACACTGTTCATATGTGGTTACTTAAACGACCGTACACTGTACATATGTGGTTACTTAAACGACTGTACACTGTTCATATGTGGNGCAGTACTCATTTGTGTTACGAGGATCGAATTATTTTTACTGAATCTGTCACGCAATCCCAGACTTTTCTAGAATTATCTATAATCTGTAATATTCCAGAAACTTCTTTCATGTGACTCAGCAGTTTCCAAAAATAGTACAACTTGTAATACGCTATAAATAGTAATAGAACATTCTAGATAACTAAAGTAAATGTATAAAAGCTGGCTTGTGAGAAGTACAAAGGAGATTTGCCCGAGGGCTTACCCTCGTGGCTTGCTGAATGAACTTGTGGCAGCTATGATATGACAAGGCTATGACCTTTTCACCTTGCGATATCCGGAGAGAAGAAAGAGATGAAAGAGACGATAGTCGAGAGAGGAAGAAAATAGAGAATACAGAGTTTACTATGGAGTCCTCTGGAAGAGTTTGTGTACAAGGAAAGAATGCGATAAATCAAGAAAGCCAAGCGCTGTGGTCTTCAGTCGGCGGATGTTGGAATTGGAAGTTGATCAAGACGACAAACACTTACACGGCATGAAGGATTGTAAGCCTGCTCTATGAACTGCTTAACTTAATCTTTAACCTAAGTAAATTAGACAATGTAAAACTAATTAAATAATAGTTAAAATGGGTAACTGCTTATTGTTACATTTTTGTTGCGTGCCATATATCGTACTCGGGAGTCTATTTTCATATATGCTTTGTTAGCGGACATTTGTTGGTCATTCGTGCATGTAACATAACAAAAAAGTACTTTTTTTTATTGCTGAGTACAGCTAACTGTTATGTAAGGTTTGTAACCTTGACTTTGAGAAAGCAAGATTTCATTGTTGATTAGTAATTATAATTGACCCCAAGTAGGGCTTGTGAAGCATCTTTTTAATGATTTCTCGAAAAAATATGGGAATTAACAACTTGATTTTCAAGATGTGGAAAAATCAAACACAAAAGCCACAAGAATTAAGGAGTGATCTTGAACTGAAGCTCTTGATTATTAAACAAAATCTCCATGTTAGTGCCATAGAATATTTATAATGAACAGTATGGAGAATATGCATACTGATGTAAGGGTATAAAAAGGTTAATACCAAGGTGATATTTTTGTTAGTTTTTTTGTTAAAAGTATGAAGTTATTATGAGTAACATTATTTGCAAAGTTGGCAAATTTCTACCATTGGGACAAACCCTTGACTTCCTTATCCTTTGAAGGCAACATGATTATATTGTTGCCTTCACCTGGAGTGTTAAAAACCAAAAAAAACTTTGATCAAAAGGCTGACAAAGTTCTCCAATTTCTAATCACAACAAAAATGTGAATGACCCCTGCAATAGTTTAATCAAACATTTTATCTTTAGGTAGAATGCGTAAAGCGCCTTGTTGAGTGTGGATTGAACATTGATATCACTGAAGGGAGGTTTGAACAGTCTGCAGCTCACCTAGCAGCCTTTGCTGGCCATGTGGGTGTACTCCAATGGCTGCTGGAAAGTGGGTCTTCTGCACAGAAGGTGGTAAGTATATTTCTTGCAGTCACTTTGGTTGGAATTTAAGTTGAGGTTCCTACTCGGTTTTTGTCAGTTGATAGCCTGCAGAACCAGTGTAATTTTTTTGCATTTTTTGGAAAGTGGAGGAAAGCAAGAGTCCTGCAGATAGGGAAGAGTTCCTCCCTTTGCACAAAACTCTCACTTCATGCTTGTGTTTGTTCATCTGAAAAACCAAAAATATCACAGCTGTCCTGCAGGCTAGACAGCAGACAATTGTAGAAGGCAGAAAAATGCTCATAATTCAAAAATTGGACTCTAATTATAAACATGTCTTACTTCTTTGGTAAAAAAATTTAAGATCCCCAAGCATTTGAAATTTTTTTTTTTTTTTGTGATATCCTTATGAGTAAAATCCCCAAATCATGGGATTCATAATTTCTGGTATTGTATTTCACTATCACTGAAGATAGATTGGAATTTCTCATTTATTTATTTTATTCATTTAATAGCAAGATATTATGCAGTTCAGCTTCAAGCTGGTTTTAATGGGAACTAGCCTATCAAACTTAGTTTTTTTCTCTTAAGCAATGTATTGTAAATCCTAACTCCACTGATTTCAATGCTTTAGGATAGCCTTGGAGAAACTCCAGTGCACAAGGCTGCTCGCAGTGGATGCACTCAATGTTTGAGTTTGTTACAGGCATTTGGTGCTCCTTTAAGGTATGTAACACCATACTGACATTTAAATTGACTCTTTAAATTCCAATGATTGTACTGGACAGAGTTGTCAATAAGAGCTGGCCAGAACCACTTGCTAGTCTGCCATTTTTAGCCAGCTACTTTTCACCTCATTTCCCCATGAGTGCTGGAGAAAAATTGTATAATTGTTAAAATAAGAACAAGTTTGTACAAGCCATTTTCCAGTTTTGAACTGGATGCATTTACCTTGAACAGATTTAGAAAAATGATTCAATTCAACATTCAGGAAAAGGCTTGGTACATTTAAACTGAATACTGTCCCGGCCCAGTCAAAAATGATTCAATTCCACATTCAGGAAAAGGCTTGGTACATTTAAACTGAATACTGTCCCGGCCCAGTCAAAAATGATTCAATTCCACATTCAGGAAAAGGCTTGGTACATTTAAACTGAATACTGTCCCGGCCCAGTCATGTACATATAATTTGATGAATCAATGTGGTGTTCACGATAACCTCGCCACATATATTAATTTTCTTACTTGTCATCAACTTTTAAACTTATTGACAGCACTAGTTTGAGCAAGTGAACCTTCCACCTTTTTACCCCTCTTATACTGCAAGTATTTTCCCTTTGGTAGTATCTTTAGATATTACTTGACTCACTGATGTGCAGCTGACTGATATCTATCAATCCTATCACCTGTTTGCTAAAGAATATACTTTAATTAATTGTAAGGAGTTTTAGATAAATGCTCAACTCAATATATGATCTGTCTAATCTGTTCAATCTGACTCATACAATATGTTCAATCTGGTTTGACTAAAACGAAAACAACATTGAATGAAGAAACAAAACAAAACAAAATACTACTTACTAGATTTGTAAGCCTGAGAGAAAAAACGTGATCAGTGGAAACACAAAATTTTACTCACTTGTGAGCAAGCACATGGTCTAGACCATGCATATCTAACCCGGTACAGTGCAGTTGGGGTAAAACTAAATATGACAAATTGTAATCAAAAGGAGAATTTGCTCCTTAATCACATCTCTGGGGGTAAAGGTTAACCTTTGGGTACAGTGTGAGACAGTGTTGATTGTGAGTGGAGCATAACCAGCCTCTGTTGTTTTTCAGTACATTTAACATGTACCGGCAAACACCCTGTGACCTTGCCTCCTTGCTTGGGTTTGAACAAAGTGTTCAGTTCTTGAGAAATCACAGCTCTGCCACAGGTAAACATTTTCTTGGTCAGTCATACCTTTACAATGATCTGCTAGTCAAAATACATGTGGAAGAGCATCTACAGTTTTTGCTCTATTTTTTAAATTTCATATGTACAGAGCACTCCTTGGGTGAGCAGGGCTCGACACTAACAGTAGCCCACTAGCCACAGACTAGTAGAAATTCAATTTGGTCAGTGGTTTTCGGCTTCCACTAGCCAGTTTGGCTAGTAAATGAACTGACGTTGTAGCATCTAAGATGTCACCAGCCACTTGGCTAGTAAGTTGGAAAGTTAGTGTAAGGCTAGTTTTGAAACAATAAATACTTTTTAGTGGGGCTCCCATGTGTGCTTTGCACGCATGGGGTAGAGCTCCTGCATACCCATGGAATATGGTCAACCTTTTTGTTTGGTTGTCATGTGACTGACTGAGCGTATGTATTTGCCTTCAGATTGCATGGTTAGGGTAGGGGAGACTATCAAAACGAAGGAAGGGGTGTCTCAGGCGAGTCTTGGCAAATGCACATCTTTTATGTTATCATTAATATTACGAACTTGGGAGCTTCGCTTTTAGGCTTGGCTAAATCTATATTTAATTTAGTAAATGTAAAATACCTGTATTTCTAGTAGGTCCTGTTGGTTTCAATTTTTTGTTTTCTTTTTTCAAAAATTGTTAGCTCAGCACTTCTTTACACTTTATTTCTTCATAACTGATGAATTATCTTAAATTCCAGTGTCCAGTCAGAGAAAAAGTAAAAGACTACTTGACGATGGAGACCGCACAGAGCAAGTAAAAAGACCTAGAAATGGTTGGTATTTTCTCACAGGATTATATCCCTAACCCAACTAGACTTTGTTGAGTGAGTTAGCCATTCTCTGAGATATTGGTCCCTGAGGGGCCAACCATTTAACGCTTAAGGGGGGGTGGGTGATTTTGAAAATATATTCCCTGCAAGCACTTGCTGGAAGAAAAAAAATGCAGGCAGCCCAAATGTAACAGAAAAAATGTACCAAAAATTCAGAAAAAAATATCTTGCACAGCAGATTGCTAGAAAAAAAATTTCTTGATGACCAGAAATCACCCACCCCCCTCCCCTCAAAAGTTAAATGGTCGGCCCCTAAGATGAAATTGCTTTCTCCATCAATACGTCTACATCTAAGTCCCTAACCCTTCAACCCACAAGGCTTGACCCTTTACACCCTAGCATCAGAATGCATATCCTCCATACTGTTATATATACGTTTCCTAAGGTGCTGACAAGGAGAATTTGTTGAACAATCAATGGTGATCATTTCCTTTATTCTTGTGACCCTTAATGTTTGATTGAGGAGAAAATTAGGAAAAATTAGAAGCTAGTCCCTCTCAGGGATCAAAAGGTTAGTTAAAAATCAACCTGTTAATAGTTCAAGACAATTAAACAAGTGTCATTTTTATTTTTATTTTATTTTCAATTTTAGGTGTTGTGAAATATTTCGATCATGTTGAGATACTTGGTCCAAATGCTGTGAATCACAATCTAAACATTTCACCTGGGGAAAATCAATTGACACACAGCACAAATGGGTTTCTGCATGGGCATGTTCATGATGAAGCTTTTAAAAGCACAGGTTACAACAGTTGTCTCCCTTCTAAGAACAGTGATGTTGACATGCAAGGCGAGGAAGTTCAAGATACTGCAATCAAAACAAATTCCAGCAATCACTATTTAAACCAGCCTGTTAGATGTTTAAGTATGTGTAGTCACTTGCAGTAACTTGTTTATGCTGTCTATAAATTTAACCAGTTGTAAAGAGAGGTCAATCGAGAGACTCTCTACGATAAATCAAGAAATTCTCATACAATAATGTCAACACAACTTTGACCACTGCATTTGTATTTATTAAGCTGTGAATAGCTATTTCTCCTTTATTTCAAACATTGCTTTGACAGTATGTTACAAACTACTCTCTGTGTATATAAATCATTATCCAGTACATGGTTGCAACATTCTTATCATTCTTATGTAAGATGATCTACTTTGTTTACAATTAGAAGGTTATTGACTGTGAGCTTATCAAGAAGGTGGATAAACTGCTATGGCAAATTTTAAAAAGCTGACATTTTAAGCATTGGCCCATATCCTTTCAAGCAAATTTGCTCTGACCCAGGGCTAATGTATGGTCTTAGTTTGTCTAACAGACTTTCCATGCCAAAAAAAGCTTTTTGTTTACCCCAGAGTCATTCTGCTTGCATGAAAAGCAAGAATACAGTAATCAGCTTTTAAACATTTGCTGTGGCAGTTTACAGACCTTTATCAGCAGGTAATTGTGTTGATAACCTTGAAATTGTTTCAATTTTTTCATGTCAACACAGTAAAACAGTTTCTTTAGAAACTAATGACCTTGTTGAATTACATTGTTGCATACATTTCCAACTCAGTCTTAATAGTGCTTTCAATAATATTGGCTTTTGATTGCCGCAAATAAACTTTTCCTTAATTTAAACTTGATTGTTGATCAACTTGAAGTTTAGCAACTATCTTTTTTTTAAAAAAATGCACACTTTTATGAATTCAATGACTTTCAGTACATTAAAAAAATCTCAATTTTCCATTTTGTAATAAAACAATATAATTTATGTAAAATTTTATCCCCTTGTAATTAATAATTCCTGAGAAAAGTGAATGATTTTGAAATGCTTATGATAAATGTAAATTTGAATTTATAAAAATGAACTTTAATTTCTCTGGTTGTAACTAGTTTGTCTGAGAATACAAAAAGCTTTATTTTATAAAACATTGCTGGCTGGAGGATGCTTACTGTAATCAAAGTTTCAATTTGGGATAAGAGAAAAATGTTATGGCTTGGTTTAAGCCCTGGTTTTCATAATTTATGTCATATTTCTATTTTCCCAATATGCTCCAGATTTCTAGGACTTCGGTTGTATAGCTGCAGCACCCCGAGTCACAAAAAATGCATGCAGAGGAATCTGGCAATCTTTCCACATATTGGCAAAATCTAGAAGAGTTGGGAAACAGTGGGATTACTGATCATCTGGGATTCTCCCTACATGAGAAAACCAGGCTTTAAACCAGCCAAAAAGATGTGTAGATTAATGAAATTATGTGTGATTTACACATGAACATAATTGTTTTCTGGCAAGGCATTTCTCCAGCCTTTCCTCAGTTGATTTGACAACTCCTGGACAAGATCTGAAAAATCAGGCAAGGATGCTACATTTCGGTCATCCCTTGGATCTATATACAATTCCCTGGCATGTATATTTGACCAGTTCCCCTTCTGTGTTTTATGTTCATATTGTATCCACTCAGTGTAATGATAACGACTTGTCTGCATGGAGTATCCCATAATTGTCATCTCAGAAGGCAGAGGCTCACAGGTGTTTTCTTGTGGTTCATCTGATGGTCTGGGCACAAGATCAAAGAATAAAAGAGCTGATGTTTCGAGCGTTAGCCCTTCATCAGATGAAAGGCTAACGCTTGAAACATCAGCTTTTTTATTCGTTATGGTGGCTAATTTACAATTTCAACTTAGTCGATATAACCAAATTACCTTGTTACCCCCACCAACGCAGCACCACAGTTTCTTTAGAAACTTTCAGCCTTTATACAAGATCAAAGAGTTTGAGATTATCACTGTACAGTAAGTAATTTTTTGAAATTGATTCCAAAATGAGTGATGAAAAACATTGGAACACAAAAGGTTTCATTTAAACCCTAAAACACCCTTACATTGATCAGTACACATAAGCTCCATACTGTTCTCCAGACATTTCCTAGGGTGCTGACAAGGAGGATTTGTTTATCAATCAAGAGCTTCATTCCCTTTATTCTCTGGAACTCAAAGTGTGATTCAAGGGTGATATTGTTCAGAGAAATTAGATGCTAGTCACTCTTGGGCTACTGGGGGTGCTTTAACCCTTTCTTTCCTAAGGTGTGAATTTTTCTTTCTCCCCTACCATTCCTATTTAATAAGGTAAGATAAGTTGGTGTTAAATTAATTCAACACCCAAGCTGGGTTTAGCTGAAATATGTACCTCCATCAGTTATAATTTTTTACCACCAGTTTGCTGGTTAATATATCAAAATCTTAGGGACAAGTTATATCTTTTTATAATTTTTCTAGGAACAAAGGGATTGAACTAGCTTAATTTTTGTTAACACTCAGATGCAATTTCCTATACTTGCAACACAGTAAATTTTTTGTAAGTAGTATTAAGTCACTGCTAAATCAATCTTTACCTTGGATATTGACTGAAGATAGCCTTTTTCCAGGGCAAGCTTAAATTCTTCAAAAGAGGAGCAAAACTGAGACCCTCTGAACACAAAGTGATGTTTGAAGAGTCATCTGGGCATAGATCTGCAAAATATTAAGAATTTCAGTAATCAGTTTGAATAATAACTTTATTAATCTCCTCAAAAAGGCTTTTCAGCTTAATTTACAATGTCAAATAACTAAAACTTAGTTTTCCAAAAATACAGTACTTTGTTTTCTTTCAAATACTTCAGTTTTCCAAAAAAAGCTTTGGCAGTTATGACTCATTTACCTCTACAACTTAGCCTAATCTGTTCACACGATGAGAGATATTTTCTAAGTGTTTACCTGGCACTTTTAGTGCAGCCAGTTCTGCAAGAGTTGGAAATAAGTCCACTAATTCTACAAGTGCATCAGATACAATTCCTGAGCCTCCATGGTCTCTGTTATCTGTTACACCAGGTACATGGATCACAAGAGGCACATTAGTGGCTACTCTGAAGTTACTGAATTTTGACCACTCTTGGTGTTCGCCTAATGCCCAACCTGCAATCAAGTAGTTTTTGGTTTTCGTACCTTCAAATCTAGTAATACTGCAACAATGAATTCTCACATTTAATTACAGTGTTGACAGTGTCCCCCATTTCTAGCGTAATGTGTCAACAGGAGAAAGTACAGAGGAATTGTAATAAACCCTTTTATTATCCAACTGTGCTTCGTAGAATACAAATATTGCTTGAGACGAGTACAAATATCACGCGATATTTGTACGCCAGAAATATCCGCGAAATTCACCCACACTGAAATAGCAATTTGGCATGTTGGATAATAAGTCTCTTATTAGACGTTTTGTTGTGTAGTATTGCTGAGTATTTTTACCCCTTGTTTGTATTTTGACTCACCCTAAGGGCTCGTCAGAATACAGCACAACTCATAAAAATACTCAGCGATACTACACAACAAAATGTCTAGTAATAAGATAATTTACTTATCCATAGGGTGGTTATTTGAGGGCAGAACTTGTTCAGTAGATATGCAAGAATAATGAAGCCAAAGTGTATATAACTACTTCAAAGAAGATTCACAACAGTAATAAAAAATAACAACAAATAAAAAACCTAGTGAAAATCAGTAGGTTGTATATAAAAAAAAGGTTCATAAGGGTTCCTATATATTCATTACCCATGTCTATCCATCCATAAAGTTGGCAGAAAATATTATACACTTAATGTATGGTCCCCCAGGAAACAGTTTGTTTTGTTTTCCAGAGTGTCCTGATGTTTCCCCGGGATGAAGTTGAGGGAAACATAAGGACTTGAGGGAAAACAAAACTAACTAGTTTCCTGAGGGACCATACATTAAGTGCTTTGTTATATCTTTAGACTTTTCCTTATACAATTGTAAGGCAAAAAACACACTCTTGTTGCACGCAGGCAACAACTGCGCAATTGTATCCTGGGTCGAGATACATTTGATCAGGAGGATGTGACCAAGAATCAACCAATCACAGTGCTCATTTTGTTGAGTGAAAGTCTAGGTATATAATAATATGTACTTATTGACTGAGTGGGAGGGTTGGATTGGAAAATATTTGGCTCAAGGTCATTACCTGTATAGATCTAGTGCAGTAAGGTCCATGCATCATGAACGCAAGGGAAAACAACAAAAAAATTATGCAACATTTTTTTGAGTCAGAACAAGAAAATTCACAAGTAATCAAAAAACATGACTTATTTCTTCACTTCTGCTCACTGCTGTCACTCATTTTTGCACCAAAAATGAAAAATGTCACACTAAACAGTGCAAAAGAGCCAGACGGCTTTTTCTGGACTGGCTCAAACCAACCAATCCAGCCCTACACATATCACCTTTCACTATGGTTTTCTATGGGATTGTGCACAGACCAGACAGGTCATATGATAAATAATATTCTCTCCTTTTGGTGAGTAAAAAAAGTCAATGGTTCAGGAAAGTCTACTTCAGAAGGACAACAAAAGAGGGTTTTTTTCAAACTCCACTTCTAATTCACCCAGTGGATCACACCTAACCCTTAAACCTTCAAGATGTGATTGTCAATTCTCCCTTCAAGATGCTGCACATTTCCATGAAAATTAGTTACAGGAATTTAGCATCAGATTAAAACAATGACTTCCACATGATAAGTTTATGTACTAATGTCATTAACTATTTGCTGGAAAATGTTGGATATTGGGAGAAGTTACATGTTCATCACCTCTGGGATTTAAAAGGTTCAATGAATTGCAAACCAGTGGGGGTAAATTCATCTACTAATGTGTATTAGGTTATAATAATGTGAGAGCACTATTTCTAATCAATAAAGCTATTAGTTATTGTCCTTTCGCTTCATGAAATCAGAAAGCAGGAATGTTCACCCCAAATCTTACCATGATCTCCCACAAAGCTCACAATTGTATTGCTTGCAAGGCCATACTCATCTAAAGCTATCAGTAACTGTCCGACTAGACTGTCCATGTAAGTTGTTGCAGCATAATAGCTTTGAATGATCCTTTTCGCATAAAAATCTGGCATGCGTTCATAGGGAAAACTCAGATTTAGTGCTGCAATGTCATCTCTCCATCGCAGGTCAGTCCATGGTTCATAAGCCACTGGCGGTAAGTGAAAGGGAAGTAAAGGGTCTGCTGCCACTTGGATCTTCTCTATGGGGTACAAGTCAAGGAATTGTTTGGGAAATTTCAGAGGGATGTGTGGCTTGTGGTAGCCAACAGCCAGGAAAAATGGTTGATTGCTGTTTTTTGAAGTTGTGTAATTTTTTAAGAAATTTAAAGCAAACTGAGTGCTCTGAATGTCTGGCAGTGTTTTCTCTGGTTGCTTTTTAATATCAACTGGACATACAATGTTGACGTGTAGTTTACCGTCTACACCTGGACACACCTTAAAAGAGGAAATCAAAGGAAAGAAAGGTTAGTACTCAGTAATAACTTGTTAACCCTCTAACTATCATGAGTGACTAAGACATAATTTCTCCTAACCCCAATATATTTCAATACCATATATTTCAATACAATATCAAGCAGACAAGTGATAAGAATAAAAAAAAATTTGAAAAAAAGGAGTATTAATCGATCCAATACCAAATTCTCTGAATTAATGTCCTAGGAATTGTATAGTAGACAGCAAGGAGGACTGTAAATGAGATCTTGAGATATATTGAGAATTCCAATACTGAGTAATTCCAATACTGAGTAATTCTAAACAAACTCACCGCTGCATTTTTGTAAGCATGCGTTGAGGCATGATAAGGTGGAATGGACCAACTATATGGATAGTCATCAGTGAAGTTTGATGCTCTCCCTGAAACAAACAACCAGGGTAACCAAGCAACATATGGTGGTCTATGGCCTTTCCCTACATTCAGGTAGTTTGGAAAGCCGCAAAACACAACAAAACTTTATCTTTCAAATCATCACTCTTAATCCCAATGGTATCAACCAACACTTTTCATTCTACTAATTTATTCTTGTTTTCCTTGTGGCCATGTTTCCACCAATAACAGAGCTCCAGTTTCTGCACACAAACAGGCACACAACCCAACATTCTTCCATTCGCTCTGACGAGGGGCTAGCTAACGCTTGAAACATCAGCTTTTAAAACTCTTTACGGTAGCCAACTTACATCACTAACTCAATTGATAAAACTCCAATAATAAAATAGTGAGGGGCCATATAGTGGTAGTTAATACTGAAAGATTAATGAACAAGGGAAGCCAAACCATAGGAGAAATTGAAATATTATGCTGTATGCAGCATGCAGTGAAGATATCTCGCTTTGGCAACAGGAAAAATTCTGTTATTGGTGAAGTCATACCTAATGGAAGTAGGGAATCTGTTCCATAGTTGGGGGTCTGTGGACTAGCTTTTTTCATGGTTGAGAATGGAAGATAATAAGGCCCACTTGAAATTAAAATCTAAAACACGAAAATGGGAATGTGAATTCTCCAAAATTGCAACGTTAGAAAATTAATTAGCACGACATGTGGCTGCACCATGCGGTTAATCACATTTTGGTATACCTGGATGAAAAACTTTTCCTGCAGAAGCGGTAAAATAACCAGCATCCTTGAAATGTTGTGGTAAAGAGGTGAAATTTCCTGCGTTCACCCTCCAATAGATAGCCCCCTTGTTGCCCAGTAGCTTCGTTGTGTCTGGCCTCCTGCCAGTAAGGAATGAGATTCGGCTCGGAGCACAGACAGCTTGCTGCGAAGCAGCTGTGGTAAAGCGAATCGAACGCTGTGCAAGCTTGTCAAGGTTCGGAGTTTGTACCACAGTATTCCCATAGCTGCCTAGCGCAGGTCTCAGATCGTCTGCTACTATAAATAGAACGTTAACTTTGTCTTGGGAGAATCCATTTGATGTACAGATCATTAAACACATTAAGACAAAGCCAGAAAATCCAGCTTGTGAAGTAGTATGATGAAACTGTCTGGGTTCCATCTTGGGGAGGCAAAAGACCCTGGGAGCGAAGTTGTAATGTTTGCGTGACCATCACGGTCACCGTCATGCAAAGCATTGCGTAATAGTGTAACCAAGAATTATGTTACAATTTCCCGAATGCTGTATTGGTCGTTCGCAACCAGTTGTAATTTTGTTGAAACATTTCTTTTTCGATGTCGCAATATTAAGGTAAAACGTCCCAAGTATGGAAGCAGGTGGAGAACATTTTTTCACAATTTAGAAATTGATAGTTGGCGTGACGTGTTTTGTGTGATCGAACATGGAGGACAGCGGGGACGAAGGAACACTAAAACTTCTCACTGAAGCACAGGTACCTTTTTACTTCAAAACCAACGACAAAGTTGCTTGGATAACACGCGAAGATATCAACCTTGCAGTTATAGTTCGCACCACGGATCGACTGGAAGATGATTTTTCACCAGGAGCTACTAGACGAGTCGACGTCAGTTTAAAATTTCTGAACTTACTAAGTGCAAACATTGAAAGTGAATTTTGCTGTAATTTGGTCTTTCCTTGCGCTGTGCTTGAAATCTTTTGCGATTTAACTGCGACTTTCGATTGTCCACTGTTGAACGTTTTCGCTCGTTTAGAAGATTTTCGAATTTGTGTTCTTGTGTTCTCATGCCCTGATACAGATTGCAAAGATGGAAACCTTCTCAAAGAAATGGAACTGATATTGGACAAGTGTCAGCGACAAAATAGTAATAATTTTCACTGGGGAGGTAGCATCAACCTCATGAAAGTATCAGCGTTGCGGAATGGTGGCTACTGGCTTGGTGCGATTTTAAACGGCGGGCAATTCATTTTGTTGGAAATGACTGTCGAAGAAAAGAGATCAGCAGAGTCGAATTGTTTTCAAATCCATTGTGTTCGTCATATCAGAAGTAGTGAAATGGAGTTAATGAATCATCCATTCTCATGGAAGTTGCTAGATTTTAGCCCTGATCAGAAGAGCATAGCCATCACAGGGAGGGGTTCCTATGTGTTTTTCATTGGTTTGGTTTTTATCGACGTGGAGTCGCTCAAAGTTACTGCAGAGACACAGCTAAAAGGCTATCACTTTGTAGCTGATGCGAAATATTCCCAAAGTGGAAATTTCTTTCTTGCACTGTGTAGTGGTCAGCGAATAAAATTGCCCTCAAATAATGAAAATCGGGCAGCGATGGATTTTGAAGACTGCAAGTCAGTGTTGATTTGGGACACTTATGGCAATCTTCTGCAGAAAGTGAGCATTGAAGGACATTTGGCATCTTCAGTGTATGAGTTCTTTCTATCGCCCCATGATAACTATATTGTGATTCCTCAAAGTGGAACTGACTCCAACAAGAGACAACTTTCAGTCTTTTTGAAGCATCAAATCAACCTTTCAAAGGGCGAGGCTGAATTTGATTCTGAAGAACTTTTGCGAATGGATCACAGCAAGGGAACAGACAATTATACAAGTTGTGCAATTTCTCCGAATGGACATCAGCTCCTGGTCACTCACTGTTGTAATGTGAACATTGAAGATCGAAGCCAAGATGTCTCCAATCTGTTGGTTTACAAAATGAATGACTCCCCTGCTGAGTTAAGGGTTCTTTGCCGCATGACAATAAAGAAATACTGTGTTGTACAAAGCCTACGGCAACATGATGTCCCTAAGGAAATCTTGTCATATTTAAATTGGTGTTAATTATTCAGATCATGTGTGCTGAGAGATGAATGTTTGATCCATATCTTAGTTGATACTAGGTCAAAAGTAGCTTCATAATTAGCACTTCCACTCCCAAAATCTCATCGATAATTCTCCTAACTGTTTACTATACAATTTTTATGATGTTAGTTTAGAGAATTTAGTATTGGATCAACTACCAATCCCCTGATTGATATATTTTTTTTAATCTCATCACTTGTTTGCTTGACATTTTAGCGATATTTTAAGGAGAAATTCTGTCTTGGTCAGTAATGGTAGGGTTAACCAAAAGTTATACAGTAGTCAGGGAATCATTAACTGATTGTTGGCTTATGACTGAGTGAGAGTCAGGCAATAGGTGACCAACACTTAACTGATTGCTAGCCATTGTCGCATGAAATGTTGGCCAACCATAAATACCCAAAAACATCAATACAGTGCTGATTGTGAGTTACTTGACAAGCAACTATTTGGTAGTAGAATTTTGGCCGACTATTCACCAATTATGAAACAGATTTATATATTTGATAACTGACTAACAACTGATTTCAGCGGACCACTGACCATCAACAGCCAAAAGAAGTTTGTAAAAACTACAAAAAAAATTATTTATGGTGTTTAAATTTGAAAATTTGTCCTTGGTTTCATTTACTGGATACTAAACAAGAAGAAAAATTTTTTCAGTTGAAAATACAACTTATATTTTATTTGCCTAGAATATGATAGGATTGTCATAAGGCAACTGGGCTAGATGGTTCTAAGCTCTCAGTCATTAGGGAGAAATAAATATAAAACACTTTTCAGTGTAGATATAAAAGGAACAATTTTTGGAAACATTAAATTGGCAAATACAAAAAAATAATTGTTATTTTAGGACTGTATGGATATCTACAAGGTATGTACAGTGGCAGATCAAGGAGAGGGGCCAGGACCCCACCCAATTTGGGGAAAAAAATGAAGAAGGAAGAAGAGCTGGCACATGTACACACACAAAAACCAGGTGCCCCCCCCCCTCCTTTAGCTCAAGGTCTAGATCAGCCACTCATATATATTGCCTCTGAATTAACATTCCTGTGAGATGAACAGTGCATAGGTAAAGTTTAACAAAAATCTGTTTGCAGGTTCTATTTCAGAGAAATGGGACTTCACAAAAATTGAACTAAAGCAGCATAGATGTCAGTGGTAATCTTCCTTTTTCTCTTGGACATTTATTGGTTCTACAAGGAAATGTGATTACACAGAATCAGTTTGTTATTGGGAAAAAAACAGTTTGGTGTGAACTCTTTGATGTGTTATGCTTCCTGTTCGTGCACAGTCTTACCCTTTACATCCTAACATCTGCATGCATATTCTCCATACTGTTCTCTATACATTTCCTATGGTGCTGATAAGGAGAATTTGTTTAACAATCAAGAGCTTCTTTGGTTCGTGATTATTTTCTATATTCTTCTGACCTTAAATTTTGATTCAGGAGTGATGTTTTAAAAGGAAATTAGATGCTAGTCAGTCCAAGGGTTAAATGGTCAAAAAAGTGTTATATAACAAAAATCACATATATAGCAATATGTAAAATTTACATAGCACTTATCACAAGCCTTTCGGTGCTTTACAATATGAAAGAGAAGGATATCTAACCTACTTTTTACAATATTATTTAATGAAAAAAAAACATTTTAAACTCTCAAAGTTATTTAAAACCTATCCAGCTAAATCAACAGACCAGACAGGTAACCAACAGGTGATTGACAGGTGGTGAAATGAGAAAAATCAAGAAAAGAACTTTTAAGGATTTGGCAAACCATTTTGTCTCTCAACAAGCTTAAGTGATGCTTTTTCAGGCACCATATTTACATTTAAAAAAAAAACAGACCAAAGCATACATGAGCATTTTTGCAGTTAAAAATTCGATGTAAAAATTACTGACTAAATGCTTAAAATTTAACGACTAATGAACTTCCTAATTTAATGCCATCATTAAGATTAAAGATAAAATTACAAGGATTTATAACTAAAAATACGAATTTTCGCATTACTGAAGGAATCCCATTATTTTTTGGACTATTCTAGAGCATCCTATCGCAGACATGACCAGCATGTTGTTCTCTAGCCAAGGTTAGTGTGATGTGAGTTGATGCGTTCTCATCCCTTTGTTCTTATATTTTCCTATTCAACTGGAATATGTTTCATCTGGGTCACCAAGGGTCATTGTTGCCATACTCTTGTAAAACCCATCTGCTTCTGTCTCACCATTTGCTGGACATAGGTGCAAAGTTAGCTTTGTCAATGGTTGTTCTCCCATACAACATTCGACAAAGCTTTTGTAGCTCTCGTTGGAGATTTCTCCATTATACCTTTTTGATTTCATAACAGTCATGTGAGGAATGAACTCTGGTGAATCTTTGGGAGGGATGCCTTCTTTAGTGAAAATTTCACTCACAGTTTTATTAACTAATTTCAAAAAGTCTCTTCCCTCTTGTTCAAGATTTGCGTAGATTACCGGGGGATGTGCATCTGAAAAGTGGTCAAGGCCCTTAAACCTAAGCGTCGTGGGCCTTTTGGAAAACATGGGTTCCAATGCTGTCTTGCATTGATTCAGCAGTATTCTTTCTGCTTTGGCAATTTCCTCTGCACCTTCAAGATACATGAACATTAGGGTAACGTGCAATTTCGCCAAGGGACGTCCTTTTAGATTCTGATCGTGTGCGGCGATGGAATCTTGGATTTTCTTGATACAGTCATATATCTGAGGGTTAGAAATGCGCAGAGCCACGAAAAATGTTCTTGCTTTTGGGCTAGTACTCATACCTTAACCACAATGATGATAAGTTTTGAGTAGTTCCTCCTTTTCGGCTAAGTCCGTCGCGTGTGAGTCGTGGAAAATCAGTGATGTGCCCCACGTGTTCCACGAGTGAGGCACTAGTAGAGACAAAGTCCAAGAGTTTGCATTATGCATTGCGCTCAACGCAAATATCTGCGCTAACAGCAGATTATTTTTCACTAATTTTTTTACCTCGCGCAAAGGATTTCACCGAAAAGGAGGACTGCTTGTGATCTTGCTCTTCAGGTGGCTGACCGCACACAATCAACTGAAAACGATTTGAACCTTTAAGGTCAGTCTGGAGTAACGCGGCTGAAAAACCGCTGATTGGCTAACAAACATGACGTAACATGTGTTTATGCGCTAACACAAAAAACTGATCGAGTTATCGTTCAAGCACATGTGACGAAGAAATTAAACTCATTTGTACTTTCGGTTGATCCAGATTATTTCTGATCCCTCCGTGCCAATTGAATTAAACGAGTACGTGTTTTAAATGAGTGTGACAAATAATATAGGGTGCGAAAAGGGTGGCGGACAGCTTCTATTTTCGTTTTGAGTGGGATTTAATTTAGTTGGGTCTCCACCGGTAGGAAAGCGTTTAGAAACGGGACTGATCTACTTGATCTTGTTTATTTTATAGTATTCCGTTGACCGTTGGTAAACAGGGTACGAACGGGTCCTAGAAAACCTGGAAAGTCCTGGAATTTTCTTTTGAGACTTTCCAGGACTGGGAAGTCCTGGAAAAAGACTACAGGGTCTGGATTAGTCCTGGAAATTTGCTAAAATCATTCAATAAAGTTTCAAAATTTACGTTAAAAGAAATGTGTGTAGACCGTAAAGAGGAGTATTGATTTTGAAATCTTGTGAATGAAACGGGGTTAAAGGTGAAATTTGGAGTCCTGGAAAGATCATTCTGAGCCTGGAAAAGTCCTGGAAAATTCCTTGAAATTTGTCTCTGAAAAAGGGTACTAACCCTGGTAAATCTTGATGATACAAGTTTGAGAATCGCCGATAGGTCCTGATGGGCTTTTTATGGAGTTTTGCTCCGTGTGTCATGTAGAATGTGTCATGTAGTATGTGTCATCAATATCTTCGTCGTCAGCTAAATCCTTATCATTCGCTCCAACGAAGGGCTAACGCTCGAAACGTCAGCTTTTGTAATCGTTACGGTGGCCAATTTACCATTTCAACTTTGTTGATATATCCAAATTAAATCCTTATCAGTTGCTCCGCTATGGGGTGAGAGCAGTTTTGTAGTTTTCCACACTTTTCAAACTTTGCTCAAATTTTTCCATCAAATATGTTATGCTGGCTAGTCCCGAGTGATGTTTATCCTATCCTAAATAAACCCTAAGTGAAAAACTCCTGCAATAAACTGTTTTTAGTGTAGGGTTATAGAGAAGATTGTTTAGGAATGGAGAGCTAAATCTATTTATATTTCACCCATATTTTAATCATTATCAACGTGTTTCATTGTCAGTAAATAAAACGAATGAGAGCCTTCTTTACACACGTGTTACTTTATCAATAATATTGGAGAGGGTCAATTTTTTGGTGTGTCTAGTTACATTCGAGTGAGTCGTATCTGCAACTGTGGAGAAATAACTTATTGATTTTGGTTTAAAAAAAGGTAATGATTTTTTTTCGTTTCACTTCAGGTTTTCACAATATTTTGTTTTTAATTTGTGTTGCTCAGATTTTTGTGCTTTGGTAGGAATTGAATGAGCTCAAGTAACTGAAAACAAATAATCCAAGTTAGGAGGTTCCTAAGAGTTTTAGACCAGATGCCCTTGATGATTCAAAATGGTTTGTGTGCAAACGTGTTTGCAGTAATGAATGAACACATGTTTTTTGGCTGGTATGTGTGTTTGCATGAGGACAAAAACATAAAGCATGTGAATGTTTTTCAGATTTTTGTGACATCAGCCTGACAAAATATGTAGAATTGACTCCAGATTTTCTGAAATTCCCTTTGGTAAATGTTTTTTAATATTGGCTAAGTCTTCACCACACATAGTTTTATCAAATATCCTTTTTGTGTTAAACTTGGCTCATTGCAGGTTCTATTTCAGTGACTTCCTAAAATTGAACTAGTACAGTCTCAGACTTACAATTGTGATAATCCTTATTTTTATCTAAGACCTTTTATTATTATTTCTCTTAAATATTTCAATAATGAAATTTGGTAAAAAAGAATCACTCCATAAAAGGAAAAAAATGAACGATTTGTGATCTGGTGTGACTTCTTTGATGTGTATTGAATTACACTTCCTGTACGTGCTTATTTTTAAAATAGTGTACTTAAAAAAGCACAACCTTGAGAGTAAAAGTAATATTTACAAGGACATATAACTGAAAAAATTTTGGAGCACTGATGGAATCCCTTTTTTTTAACTATTTTACTCTTTGGCAGACATGGAGGCCTACTGAGCAAGCATGCTGTAATCTAGATGGTGAGATCATAGTTCAAATTTTGGCCAAGGATATTTTGTGTTCCATAGACTTCCCTTTGATGTCACTGACTGTGTTCTTTCTCTGTTCAACTGAAAGATGTTTTATCTGAGTCACCAAATGTCACTGTTGCCATACACTTATAAAATCCATCTCTATCTTTCTCACCCATTGCACATAAGTGCAAAGCTGTCACTTGCTCTTCCCCAAAATTCAAATCAACCCAGCTTGAATAACTCTCCTCTGGGATTTTCTTCACCCCATTCCTCCTCAACTGTGGGTTATGGCCTGTTAATTTCATGACAGTCATGTGAGGATTGTACTCTCGAGAATCAGTGGAAGGGATGCCTTCTTTTGTAAATATTTCTCGCAAAATTTCCGCAACTGATTTCAAAAAGTCTCTTCCCTCTTCCTCAAGTTTTGCATAGAGAACTTGTTGTCGAAAGTGGCCAAGACCAGAAAATCTTAGCATCATTGCACTTTTGGCTAGGATGGGTTCCAAAGATGTCTTGCACTGATGCAATATTCTTCCTGCTTTCTCAATTTCCTTAGCATCCTCAAGGTGCATGACCATTAGGGTAACATGCAATGTCGCCAAGGAGACAAAGGCAGGCTTAAGTTTCTTATTGTGTGTGGCAATAGAGTCTTGGATAACCTTGATACCAGTGTGTATCTGAGGATTATGAATGCGCACAGCCAAGAAAAAGTTTGGTTGTATCCTTTTAGGCCTCTTGTTTCTTGGGGAAAAGAGTCCATTGTCTCCATTCACACATGTACCAGCAGCATCTGATTTGCCATCTTCTAATGATGCATTCAGCTGAGGTTTCTCCTTCCGTTTGTCTCCCATTCTTTGTTCGTATTTTGCTCTGTTCACAATTGTCCATTCTGCATTGTCAAGTGCACTCTCTGGCTTTGGATCAAAGGGAGTATCCAAGACAAGTGGTTTAATATCAGGACTTTCATCAGTTTCTTTTTTATTTGTAAGACTCTGAGAGGATTCAGATCTCTCAGCGTTCATTGTAGATGAATTGGTGTACTCCACATCATTACCACCAGGACAGATAAAGCTGTGTGTTTCTTGTCTAGATGGTGACTCCAAAAATCCCCCAAATTGTTCCAAAGTATTCATATTTTCACCATGACGCTGATGATTTTCAACATCTTGTTCTTGATGGGTAATACCACCACTCTGGTTGGCAGAATAGCTACTTTTATTGACATCTGTCATTTGATCGCCTCTTATCATCTGCTCAACGTTCCTAATCTCCTCAATTGAGTCACTGTCTTCCTTCATTTTCCAAGAACCACCAACTCTTTCAGTTTCGACTTTATATATTTCGGGGAACGTATTTGGCTCATGGCCAATGGACAAGAAATGACCGAGAATAGTTCTTAGTATCACGTTCTTTTTCTTTGGATGAGAAAACGGACGAGATGAGGACTCTCTCCCTGCAAAGTTTTCAGTAGCGTGTATTGCTGATGAAATGTTTTTTAAAGGACGACACAAATGAATCGTTGGGACCAGTCTGGAGTCAAGTCTGCGGATATCCGCGAGTTTTCCGATGCTAAAGAAAAATAGAAAAAAATTCCAACGACGTTTTGATTCCATAAGCTTTCCATAAAGATTCAGTAGACGTAATACCCCTTTAGTACTAGTTCCTGTGGTAATTTTAGGTGTTTAGGGACGGTAAAACAAGCTTTGTTCAAGAGAAACGCTTTGATCATCACACAGAGCATCACAGTAGGACACAATAAGAAGTAATCTTTAACAACGCAACAATTACATGAGCACTTCCATGAGCACTATGATGGTTAGGGTGGAAACCGCAGATATTAGTGCTGCGGGCTCCATAAGAAAACATGGAGGACGAGAACATGCAGGTTTTTATCGATTATTCAATAAAACAGGTAAAAATATCTGCTTTCCTTACTTTTTTCAATAAGTATAGCTGGCATGACATAATTTACTCAATGAGATAAATATCTGGTATATTTTATTTTTCAAGACATTGCTTCAACGAACGAAGAACCTAGAGGAAGGAAAAGACGACAATTTTCTTGGATATGTTTTTGGCGAGGTGTTCCCAAATAAAATTCACATAATTGGTTGTGCAGCTTGTACAGAAAGTCATCCACCCGCTAAGACAGGGTATCCAGCAGTCCCTGACTGGAAAAATGAGAAATCAGAATTATATTCTCTTATCCCCAACGGTTTGTACATAAGTCTTAAATTTATCTTCATGTGATATTCTATTGCCTATAGTTGCACAAAGACAAGAACGTATTTTCCTTTAAATTAATATTTGTAACACAAGTCAACTTTTTTTATTCTAGGGGTCTTAAGGGCAAGAGTTCCATATAACCACTTACATTAATTATGCACAGAGTGTTGCCAAGAAACCTTAATTTTATAGTGAGTCTTTATGAAATGGAATGCATAATTAATGTATGGGGTTATATGGAACTCTTTCTGTCTTATGTAATGCTTAAATATTCTGTTAGTCTTATCCAAATCATTAATTTTTTTCACCTTTTGGGTAATCCATTTATCTGTCTGTCTGTTCATTTGAATGTCTGTCCATCAGTCTGTCGGTCTGTTGGTCTTTCTGTTTAAATTTTTCTCTTATCCCACTTTTTATTGACCTCTTTTCAGTCTTTTCCATTGGTTCATTAACCCATTCTATCATGTCTCCAACTATTCATCCCTCATCCCTTCTATTCATCCAGCCAGCCAACCAGTCATTTATCACGTCGTCTATTGTTTGACAGTCTGTCTCTCTGTTCTTGGTGAAGCTCCACTGTCTGTTAGTAATAAGGAAATGTCTCAATAAAATTAATATAAATTGTACTTTCTACACAAAACTCAAAGCGTGAGGTACCAAAAATTGTCTTCTCAAGAATTAGCGCCAGACTATAAAATGAGATACCATCCTCTTTTTGGGAGTTACTGAAAAAAATAAAAATTTGAAATAAAAATGAATGGAACTAGCATAATTCCTCTCTTGACATGCATAAGATCTTTCCTGAATAAAATCTCCCACAAGTATTTATAATATATATCCAAGTCCTTTCAATTCTTTCTTGAATCCTTCCACCAAGCAGTGCTCCCTCCTCTTATTTTATTGTTTATAGTAATAATCTTCTTTGTTATTTTGTAATTATTGAGTATATATATCTTATTAAATGTTTTGAGTATTTTTATGAGTTGTGCTCTTTTTTGATGAGCCTATAGGGTGAGTTAAACTAATACAATGAGTAACACAACAAAATGTTTAATCAGAGATTTATTATCCTACCTACATGCCAAATTGTTATTTCAGTGCAAGCAAATTTCTAACTGGTTGTCTGGGGTACAAATACTTTGTACTCAATTTGCGCATTATTTGTATTCTACCAAGCACAGTTGGATAATAATATTATTTAGGTATTTAGGATTATTTTACTATTAATACCTTTTTAGATTTGCATTGACTGATAGTATGTAACTTTTATTTTAACAAGGAAAAATAAAGATCGATGTTATCATTGTAGTATTAATTTTCCTGATTCTTTTCTCTTTTAGGGATACGTCTGGTTGGAATTCATTATTCTTGTGTTAAACCTACAAATCTTGAACCCTGTGAGCTTAAAAAAATATTTAATGGAACATTTTTAAAGGTGAGATTGTAAATCTCTAAGCATATTTTCTAGAACTCAATTTAGAAATGTAAACATGTAAGGATCACTGGGATCTAAGTTCTCCTTACGTTGTTACCCTGAATTAAACATTAAGTTAATGAGAATAAAGGAAATAATCAACAACTAAAGAAGCTCTTTATTATTAAACAAATTCTCTTTGACAGAACCCTAGGAAATGCATAGAGAACAGTATAGAGGATATGCAAACTGATGCTCGTTTAAAGGGTCAGTTTATTTGTAAGGGACTTAATATGTTGGTCATTTGCCAGAGTAAAAGGTATAATATTATAGTATCTTACATATTTACATGTAGACTTTTCTTATTTCACAGGATGCTTCAGTAACCAACAATTCTCTAGTGGTTTTACAGCATGTTAATACCAGTGATGGTGAAAGAAAAAGGTGTTTTATCTACAACAAGGATCTTGAATCAGTATCTGAGTGTGAGTGGCAAGAAGCAAGTATCCAGGGAGAATTTCTAGAAAAGAGGATTTGCTTTCGAGTTCAAGCAAGCATACCTCTATCTGTCTCCAAGGATCAAAATGGTATGTTCTCAAGATGGCTAAACGTCCCTTGTTAATGCAAAGCATTTGTGACATCACAATTATTTTAATAACTCAATAGGGGACAGTAAAAATGTTGCCATTTAAGGTGTGAAACAATCTCCAGTTGGCACTGGACAAAACTGTTTTTGACAGGACTAATAGCCATTAAGTCAGAACTCAGTAAATCCCTCCCCCCTCCTATATTTACCATGATGGTGCTTTTGTTATACAAGTAGTTTCAAACTCAATGCAGGAAAAGTGTTTAAAACCTGAGCTCTGTTCAGAATTGAATTCTTCTTCCCATTATTATTTCCTCATGCTTCTCTGCCTTACAGTCTTTTAGAGTACCAAACTTTTATTCCACAAAAGCTAAACTTACTTGGCGATACACTAAACATTCTATATATAAATCTTGAGCATTCCACATTCCAGTATTGTAACAATTATTTTGTAAACAACTCATCCTCGGA